CAGCCCGCTGTCAGACCTCCTGGCAACTTCACAAAATGATGTTCAGTGGTGTGACCTGCATCATCAACTCCCCTCAAAATCTACTTTCCAGAAAGTCTTTTCGTAAGCACAGGTGGTCCTGGGAGTGCGCCTGAAAAAGGGTGCACCAATTTCAAGTTCTGCGATGTTCTGCGTTACATATATACAAGCCGAGAGAGTCGGCAGGCTTGCGGCTTCTGTCTTCAGCCCCCTGTTGGACCTTCTGGCAACTGTCACAAAATGGCTTACATATAGACTCAGTTGTGTGACGTGCGTCATCAATTCCCCTTAAAAACTACTTTCCAGAAAGTCTTTCCGCAAGCGCAGGAGGTCCTGGGAGTACGCCTAAAAATGGTACACCAATGACACTCAAGTTCTGCGTTCCATATATACGTCCAAGTCGAGAGAGTCGGCAGGCTTCAATCTTCAGCCCGCTGTCAGACCTCCTGGCAACTTCACAAAATGATGTTCAGTTGTGTGACCTGCGCCATCAATTCCCCTCAAAATCTACTTTCCAGAAAAGCTTTTCGCAAGCGCAGGAGGTCCTGGGAGTGCGCCTAAAAACGGTCCGCTAATCTCGCTCAGCAGTTGTCAATAATAGTTCTGCGTATTCCACCCTTGTTGCTTGGAGTTCCAACCTCCGCCTCCCCAAAACTGTTGACCAACTTCCCCTTGTTTCTGGAAGTGTCGGTACTTGTAAGAATTGGCTTGCTGCATCACGGCGAAGGAGGTGAGCGCAGGAGGTGGGTTCATTTCCATTGAGATCACAGCGTCGTAGGTGAGCCTCAAGCCGGTCTGCCACTGCCCGTAGCCCAAGAGGAATTCAAAGGTGATTTCCTCGTCCAGGTTCACCTCCAGGCTCTCATCAGCCTCATCCTCGTCATCCTTTTCTTCGGGTTCTTCCACGAAGAATGGTCCCCTGATGACATCTTTTGGAGGCTTGCAGAACTTGGACACAAGCGTGCCCAAGCCCTCCTTGTAGACAGCCGCCAGGCCCATGCAAGCGCAGGCCGCCGGGATCACAAGGCCCGAGCCTGGCAGCACGCTGTCAAGCTCGAGCATGCTGCACCAGCCACCGACGACCCCCAGGGGCAGGAAGGCCACCAAGTCTAACCCCATGTCACTGCAGTTCATCTCCGCCAACACCTGAGCATGGACCAACATTTGTGTGGTCGTAAGGGTCTGCTTACGCAGTGCTTATGCGACCACAGTTTTTGATAGTTTTTGCTTCCGCTGCAAGCCTTGTGTGTAAGAGCTCACGCTTCGCTTACGCTTAAGTGCTTATTGTTTGAGTTTGATTGAATCTGCATTTCCGCACAGCCGCAGCTTACACACCATTTTCTTGCAAGGCATTTCAAAGAGAAGGCTCAAACGATAAACTCAATGAACTTAATTATGTAATATAATAGGTAAAAGCAGTTCTGCACGACCCTTTGCTGCTATTTCTGCGACAAATCACAAAAATTGCTTCTTTTGGGGCGCCATTGTGGACTAGGATGCACAACACAAAAAGTTGTTTACGCACCGCTTACGCGCGGCCTATGCGCACATGCACGTTCGCATAATTTCTGGCCAAGATCGATGGAAAACACATATCAAATGATGCCACGTGCGTGCACAATGCTGGAAAGCCTCTCACGGCCACAGAAAATGAACTGCACAAAACCATATCTAAGCAAACAATTCACAAAAGCGGATCCTGCAATAGCAACAGCGAAGAACATATTATATGAAAATGTATTGTAAAAAATCACAAAACCTTCAACATAATCATGCTTACGCACTGCTTACGCACACTGCACTGTCACCATAAGCTTACGAAACCTTACGCAACTCACAGCTTTACTTGCACTGCTCTTATGTCCTGGCCACTGTCCGGGCCCTTAACTGCTCATGTAAAGACTAGTTTTGGACCATGCTCACCTGGAAAAAGCTGCGGCCCAGCACTATTCGCTTGGCGATTGCCTCCAAGTCCCTGGTGTTTGCTCGTTGATCGCAGGCCTCCAAGAGCTTGTCCGAGTTTTGCATCAGCAAGCACACGCAAATCCGCCGCAAATCTCGAAAAGGGTCACTCTCGTCCACTTTCACCTTGAACAGCACCTTAATGAGTCTCTGAAAGTTTCCCATGTGCTGCGGCCGGGGATCCCAACCAAAGCAGAAGAAACTCCGCAACCACTGATCTACGATCTTCACGAGACTTTCCTCAAAGCCTCGTTGTCTCAGGGCGGCAAAGGTGACTGGGCAAAAATGCCGGTAGCTCCTCAGCACCTGACGGGCCTGCTCCTGACTGCGTTGCTGCCCATGAGTTTCGTCGTCAACCTCGGGCCGCAGCAAGCGCTTCCAATAGAACTTCTCTAACATGCGGATCAGCAATGCATAGGTCTTCATCTCTGACTCCGTCATGGCCAACAAATTTGAAGAGAAGATGGTCAGATCCTTGTCATAATCAAGGTACTTGTACTTCTTATAGAGTGCAAGGTGTACTCGTCGAAGTTGATGGCGAGCACCGATGAAGGCGTAGTTTGGATGTTTCAGCGGAAAGTGGTGAGCTTCACCTCCATAGACCTGGCCAATTGGGTCATCCAACGCCAGGGCGCGACCGAGAGTAATTTCCACTGGCACCTCGTGAGGGCCTACTCGGTCTCGCTTGTAGTCTGTGCAGGCTTCATGAAAACCGGAGACCAAATCTGCCCAGCAAAACTCACGAGTTCTCGTTCTGAAGCTGCGGCGTTCCGGGACCTTGAACTTCTCCCGCAGCTTTCCTCCGACTTGCCCCTTCTTTTGACTTACGATGGTCTCGATGGAGTCCAGTTTGCCCTTCTGTGTGCAAGCCATGTTGCCCAGCCACGTTTGCAGCTGGGTCTTCAGAATCCGTGTTGCCAACTTTGAAATGTAATTATAGAGATCTAGGCCCAAGGCTACTAAGCTAGTGAACTAACCCTTCCATGAGATAGATTGCATCTTAGAATTCAACAAGAACAAAACTACGAACGCGAAAGTGCTTGAGCAGGAGTTGGCTGAGATTTTGGAGCCATCACATGCCACATGCCATCACCGCAAGGCAATTGTACATTTAACAAAAGGCCACAGGGTGAACAAACATGGGACAAGTGCTTCTTTCACCTGAAGGGACAACCCAAGTGCATCATAAGAAAAAAACGCTTTCATGGTTCTCTCCCTTCTTGCTCGGAAAAAAGAAAACAAGTAAAGCAAAGAACGTACAAATAACCACAGAATCCAAAAGTAGAGCAAACAACGCATCACAAAAGTGGGAAAGGAACACAGGTTGCCAGGAAAGCAAGAGAAAAGCAACGCAGGTTTTTCACAAATCGCTCTGGCCTGGCGCCGGCCAGTGACATGAAACCAATCGACTCGGGCTCGGTCCAGGCCGGCCTTCTCCCCCTGGCCGATGCTCTCCATGTCTTTTCGCCGTCCTTGGCGTCCACGGTGATTACACGCCGCGTGTCGCCCTGAAATAATCATATCTGCGTGGGTGGCATGGCCCCGAAAGCAAGACCATGCCATCCTCAGACCAAAACAGGTGGTGAACTCCACTGCCATGACTATTTCGGGGAGTGTGCCCAGTCTGACATGATCTTGTGTAGGTGCTAGGTGCTAGGCCTACTAGGTACCAAGAAGTGCCTGGGTGCGGAGCTCTCCACCCCTTGTATGTGTGTGCTCCGGCACCCCTGCCCAGCCAAGGTTCCCATCCTCCAAGGTTCCCCATACGACCTTGGAATTTCAGGCCTGCGAAACAAAAGGCTGTGAGTTGGGTGAACATCCGGGTCTATATGTATATTGGGTCTATCCTGCTACTCATTAACAGTGGATGATGATGGTTAGTAAGGCCTCGGCCTTGTTCAAACATGATGATGATAATTGACAATTGTTTTGTTTGCTGACTGCTACAGGTAATGGGAAAGACCATGAAAGACCCAAGTCCTATTGTACATGTTTGTATGATATAAATGTACGATCAGCTCCATGTGTGGAAGATATATGCCGATCCCTTCACCCCTTTTCAACCACTCCTGGCCTGTTCTCGGCAGTCCTATATAGCACGTATGGCAGTCCCAAACAGGTCGCGTCTAGGTAAAGGAGAACATCTCCGAAACCACCACCGTTCGTATCACCAACCCAACCGAGACCTCTATGTCTATGTCGATTGCTGGGGCTTCACATCTGCAGCACAACCGTCTGGGATGCCACACGGCGTCCTGGCGTCGTGCAACGATCCCCGGTCACGGTCCGCGCGAAGCGCCGTCGTCCGTCGTTTCGTCCGTCGGTGGAGCGTCACGTTTCGGTCCCAACACCACCCGCTTGACCACAGTCGCCACACCACCTGATGGACTTTGGCCAAGCAACTTCTCTGATTCGGCACGATTTGGCTTTGGATATATAAAAAAAAACAAACACTCATGTTGACCTTCGCCTTCTTCTCTCTGTCCTCCGAGTTTGCGTCCGCTGCCCCCACTTCTCAGCTATAGCATCGTCCAGTCTGACTGTGCCGCCCTCCGGGCCCCCTGCACAAATGACTTGTCTGAGTTTGCGTCCTCGTGATCTAGAGTCCAAACCATGCCTTGGTCGAACAATGCGAAGTCACACATACTGCTGTGGTGCAAACCATGGCGTGAACATGGTGGGGTGAGGTCCCAAAGTGTGCCTACATCAGAGACAAATGTCTATAGATTGGCATGGAACACTCGTCCTCCTATGCTATTAGGACCTATACTAGGTCTTCCTGTGGTCCCATATCTCCAGAATCAAACCCTTGTTTTGGGATCCATTCGCAGGATAAACACTGTTGAGCAAGGTATGTGGACACACTTCAGGGAAGGAAGGCAGGTCAACCTTTGGAAGTCAGGGTTCATTCACGTCTGTTCACTGTGCCTCTGCTCCTTTGAAAATGGTTGATGTTGGGCAGCTCTCGACCCATGTTGCTGTACGGAACATGTTTTGCTAGCTGCCATCTCTTGCAAAACTTGAATTTTCACATCAGCTCCTCCAAACACCATCTGAGCCGTTTAGATGCCTCCCATGTAATGCTTTGTTCTGCGGGAAACTGGACGGGACGGAGAAGCGAAGCTGTCGTGGCCCCGGGCCGTCCATGATGGCCTCGAGTGATCGGAGGACGGGTCGACCCAATCCCGCTGCCATCCGTATGCCAAACACATCCAAATACACTGGGCCTATCCTATTACCAGTAACCGTGGATGATGATGGTGAGTCAAGGCCTTAAATAGTGACAATTGTTTACTGACTGTTACAGGTAATAGGACAGACCTAACTAATACACTAGAATTAAGACACAGTTACTCGGTGCCCCCCAACGAAAACAAGTTTACTGATGTATATATTATATAGATAAGGTTTGGCCCTTCGTCCTATACATGGTCCTATGTGGTCCACTGTTTGCTGGCCTTTGGTGGACATCTGTATTGGGTCTATCCCAATACCAGTAACAGTGGATGATGATGATGATCATCATGATGATGATGATGGTGATGGTTACTAAAGGCCTTGTTAGAACAAGGCGCGATACCTGATGATAACTGTTTACTGACTGTTCCAGGTAAGTTCGGACAGACCCAATATACCCAAACACTCCATGGGACTGCCATATATGCCGATCAAGTGACCCCGACTTCAACCACCCCTGGCCTTTTCTTGGCAAATATGGCAGTCCCAAACAGGTCGTGTCTGGGATATATTGACCCCCCAAACCACCCCAACTGATAGGGAAATATGGCAGTCCCACCGGTCGTGTCTGGGATGTGTGATTTAACAATCTATTTGAATCTATGTATAAACCCAAACACTCCATGGGACTGCCATAGCCTATCAGCTAGGGTGGTTGACTGGGGGTCTATCGGCATGCGGCATATATACCAGTCCCAAACAGATCGTGTCTGGGTCACATAAGTCTGCAACGAAGTCTGCACCACTTCGGCTTCGCCGCCGTGCTCCGCGCGTGGTGCCGTACGGCGCTCCGCAGATCCGCCCCGCCTCGAGGAAGCTCTCCACGCCTGCGCGGCTGAAGAGAAGGAGCGATCAAAGGTCCATGGGCACGTTTGGAAGGCCATTCGACGTCCTCTGAGGGAACGAGTCCTTTGGTTTCTCCTCCTAACATGACACTCGAAGTCACATAGAAGTGGAGTTCCCACCTGTTGGTGAATAGGACGACTGAAAGCATCATCCACGGAACCATGTTAGTTCCAGGGAGTGGTTGATTTCATATGTTGTTCACTCCGGCGAGGTCTTCTTAGTGCAAGTCATGCGGTTCGTGGTGGTGTGCGCTGCGGGAGAAGAACAACTGGTGACTTGGCGCAGACGAATCTTGCGAATGGAAACATGAAACAACCAGACACAAGCAAAGTCTGGTAGGTCTGGGGGTGGGGGTGATGACCTTTTGGCCATGCACCATATCACAGCTGTGGACTGCTGATCCTCAAAAGGCAGCATGATGCAGCAAGGGAACCTTTTACAAAGGGAGCACGAGGAAAAACACAAAAGACCACATTTAGGTTGGCTGGGTCTTGTGCCAAACCCAAACTAGGGGCTTGTTTTTGCTCAAGCCAGTCTCGGCTGCAATGTGTAAAGCCGTGAGAACCATCTGTCGTGGCGACAATCGTGCGCAAGTAGCAATCAAGCCTCTAGCCGCTCTAGCCTCAAACAATCGGCCAACTTCCCTGTTCCCCCTCATGGTTGCAAGATGTTGCAAGGGTTGAAGCCGTCCAACCTTGCGTGTCAGTTCCAGCCTCAGGCAACGACCGCACAACTTCCAAGTGGCCGTTACCGTTATAGGCTGCAAAGCCCAGAGCCGTGCAACCATCTGTATCTGCTGCATCTTTGTCAGCTCCAGCCTCACGCAACAATTGCACAACTTTCAAGTGGCCATTCCTGGCTGCAAAGTGCAAAGCCGTTGAACCATCGGTATCTGCTGCATCTTTGTCAGCTCCAGCCTCGAGCAACAATCGCACAACTTTCAAGTGGCAGTGGCCCTTCCCCGCTGCAAACTGCAAAGCCGTTGAACCATCGGTATCTGCTGCATCTTTGTCAGCTCCAGCCTCAAGCAACAATCGCACAACTTCCAAGTGGCCATTCCTGGCTGCAAAGTGCAAAGCCGTTGACCCACCGATATCTGCTGCATCTTTGTCAGCTCCAGCCTCACACAACAATCGCACAACTTTCAAGGCTGAGTAGCCTTCCCGGGCTGCAATGTGCAAAGCCGTTAGACCATCGGCCGTTGCAGCATCTTTGTCAGCTCTTGCCTCCAGCAACAATCGCGCAACTTCCAAGTGGCCATTCCTGGCTGAAAAGTGCAAAGCCGTCCAACCATTGAAATGTATATCTGCTGCATCTTTGTCAGCTCCAGCCTCGAGCAACAACCGCACAACTTCCGAGTGGCCATTCTCGGCTGCAATGTGCAAAGCCGTCCAGCCATCTGTATCTGCTGCATCTTTGTCAACTCCAGCCTCGAGCAACAATCGCACAACTTCCAAGTGCCCACACGAGGCAGCAAGAACCAAACCATCCCTGTTCGGGTCCAGCGGCTTTTGAAGCAGCCATTCAATTTGAGCCACATTATTCTCCGCGCAGCCTCTGAGCAGTTCTTCTTCCATGGTCTTGTCAGGGGCACACAAAGGCAGAATTATCAGCTGGACACTTGACAGTGTTCGTAGAGCCAAGTCATCCTCCAATTCTCCAAGCTCGTCACTGAAGAGTCTTTGCTGAAACCTTGAACACCCAACCTGAGCTGAAAGAAGTCGCTTGAGGTCTCGAACAGATTGCCCACTTTCCACCATGTAATGCAGCTCATCCTCGTCAAGCTGAGCAATCGCGTTGCCAGACACAGCCACCACTTGCATTGCTGCGCCTTCAGAATCGAGAGGAGTAATTGAGTAGGCTTGAGCCATGGTCAACGTCAAGGCTATTCAATATACTCTAGCAGTCCAAGACCATTTTAAACATGGTCCTTAGGTGACCCGAAAGAAGAATGTCCTCTACGTGTAAGTCAGTGAGCAACATATATATATATATATATATGTAATTAAATTGACTTCTTGTCCGGGTGTATCATATCTTTTAAACAACATACTAAAACAGGGTTTCCCCCTTCCGTGCCCAACCTTTCTGGGGAACAGGACGGCTTGCAGCTGTTTGATGTGAGGGGACCTCAACAAAACACTCGTTTGTCGGAACAGCACCCTCCCCGCTAGCATCCCGCTAGCCGGGCTCTGGGAACCTGCAGAATCCCAGTCCAAACGTCCAAAAACCTGTCCAAGCTCAAAGAGGGTGGAGTTGAATTGTGAGTATTCATGCACTGCGACTGGCTCACATGGAAGTGGAACATGTTACCTTGAAAAAACAACTTAAATCAACAAACCAGGGGTGAACTTCACTTCCACAATATCGTGAATGTACCACCCATGCCCCATGGGCAGGCCCAACTCCCGATCTTGGGCCCCTGAGTTGCTACAAGTTTCTCAGTTGGTGCATCTGAATTTGCACCTGCCCTCTGGAGTTGATTTGGTCCAGCAAAAAGTCCCAAACTCAACATCTGCGCATTCATGAACACATGGGAGACCTCCCACAGAATACCTGGAAAAAGGCAAATAGAACAAAACCCCCCAACAAAATTATCCCGGCAAGAGACCCCAAACAGTGTGTGTGTGAGGTCTTTTCACTTACCGTAAGAACCCCTCAGTGTGCCCACACTGTTTAGGGAAAACCCTTGGCCCAGGGGTTCTCCATCTCTGCCAGGTTCCCCACCCCATCCCGTCTTCTCGTCTGCTCGCGCCTGGTCTCCCGATGCCTGGACCGGTTCCGGGAAACAGCGGAGCTCGGACCGCGACCGCTTCAACAGACATGCTGAAGTAGAGGTAGGACCCCAATGATAGAGGAGATGCTTCAAGTTTGGTCGAGACCCAAACAGGGGCTTGGCCCGGTCTTTTGGGCATTGGTTCGCCAGTTCCGAAGAGGCTGACAAAAACGACACAGCTCTTCAAAGGCCCCAAAAAGCATGGAAGAAGAACATGGCCAGACAACCAAACTATACCACGCCAGAACCTGATACACAAGTCGGGGGTACACCCCCTGGAATCATCCTGTTTGCGTCACATGGATGGAAAAGTGGCCTCGATTTCAGATGACCACGAGCTTTCCGAAGACCAACAGGTGGTGGTTTTTCCACTTCCGTGTTGAGTTCCAGGGAGAGTACATATGAAGGCCCACCAGCTTGGTGAAAAGCATTGAAAAGCGAGTTGTTGTCTATGCTCCGTGATTTTCCAGCCCGACCGGTCCCTCGAAACCGAGCGATTTACCCCCACCCCTCCATGCGTATGAGGGTGCAGGGTCGCGTCTGGGTGACGCCTCATCCGACCACCTCCACCGCCCGCGGAAGCGCCTGGTTCTCCGCTTTCGCCGAGACCGGGACCTGCCCCCCCGATGGTTTGACGAGAGTTCGGATGACATCACAACCTAAATGAGGGAAATCAGATTTAAGTAACTATAAATAGGTTCTCACATATATATATATAGATTGCTGAGCCCCTGTAATGCTAAACATGTCAAAATGAGAAATGGTG